GAAAGAGAGCAAGAGAGAGAGAGACAGAGACAGAGAGAGAGACAGAGAGAGAGAGAGAAAGAGAGAGAGAGAGAGCGAGAGAGAGAGAGACAGATAGAGAGAGAGCGAGAGAGAGCGAGAGAGAGCGAGAGAGAGAATGAGAGAGAGAGAGACAGAGAGAGAGAGAGACAGAGAGAGCGAGACACAGAGAGAGACAGACAGAGAGAGACAGAGAGAGAATTGAATAAGGAAATAGCAGACACTTCAAACTGGAATACCTTTGATGACACAACTGAAGACCAAGTTCAAGGTATTTAAGAACACATATAATAATTAATATTGTAGCTATATGAATTTGTGTTTTAGAGTTGTTTGTGAAATTATATTTTTACTTGCCAAAGTAATTTTTGATATGATAAAATGTTATTATATATTTGAAAGCATTATACACTGATTGTACAAAACATTATGTACACCTGCTCTTTCCATGACATGGACTGACCAGGTGAATCCAGGTGAAGGATAAGATCCCTTATTGATGTCACTTGTTAAATCCACTTCAGTCAGTGTAGATGAAGGGGAGGAGACAGGTTAAATAAGGATTTTTAGGCCTTGAGACAATTGAGACATGGATTGTGTATGTGTGCCATTCAGAGGGTGAACGGGCAAGATAACATATTTAAGTGCCTTTGAACGAGGTATGGTAGTAGGTGCCAGGCGCACCGGTTTGAGTGTGTCAAGAACTGTAACACAAGAACGCTGAACAGTTTCCCGTGTGTATCAAGAATGGTCCACCACCGAAAGGACATCCAGCCAACTTGACACAACTGTTGGAAGCATTGGAGTCAACATGGGCCCAGCATCCCCTGTGGAACCCTTTCGACACCTTGTAGAGTCCACGCCCCCGACGAATTGAAGCTGTTCTGAGGGCAAAAGGGGGTGAGGGGGTGCAACTCAATATTAGGAAGATGTTCCTAATGTTTTGTACATTCAGTGTACATCTACACACGTTCACCCGGATCAGGCGCTACCTGACTCAGGAGGGTTTATTTGAAACACTTTAGGTGTTAACATTGTACTGTAGTAATGATGCATTTTAAAAGAACCATCGAATGCGGGAAACCGATCTGCGTCTCAAATAGCACCCTATTCCCTATATGTAGTGCACTACTTTTGACCAGGCCCCATGCTGGCAGTAGTAGTGCACTAGGGAATAGGGTGCCACCTCAGACGCAGAGGACATCTCAGATCCTCTACAGCTTTCTTTGAGACGTATAGAGCATTGCTGTACGCGGTACGCAGTAGGTGAACTAGCAACTGTTTGGATCCAGCATGTTAGTGTTAGGTGTTGTATCCACAAACTGACAGGACCGTGAAGTTAATATTCACTTTATGGTTCCAAGAAGGTTAATAGATAAACACTAGCCTTTTTTTATTTATTATTTTTTTACACTCTTTTGTATGGACTCATGTTTCCCCTTTTCACAAATCAACTTTCTCTCCTCTGGGGTAGAAAGTTAGATTAATTGATTTGATTGATTTATTAATTGATTGATTGATTGCTTGATCGATTAATTGCTATTTTAATTTTCAGCCCGGGGCATGACCCGAGAGAAACTGATGTGGATCGGACCGTTTAAAAACAATGGGTTCCAGCTGCAGTGGTCAGAAACATCAGAAAGATGAAACTCATCCCTCAGGGAAATGCTCTCAATCCACCAACTCCTCCAACCACACAGTAAGTAGCTATATCCACCAACTCCTCCAACCACACAGTAACTATCGATATCCACCCAACTCCTCCAACCACACAGTAACTATCTATATCCACCCAACTCCTCCAACCACACAGTAACTATCGATATCCACCCAACTCCTCCAACCACACAGTAACTATCGATATCCACCCAACTCCTCCAACCACACAGTAACTATCGATATCCACCCAACTCCTCCAACCCACGTAGTGCTTATCCACCCAACTCCTCCAACCACACAGTAAGTAGCTATATCCACCCAACTCCTCCAACCACACAGTAAGTAGCTATATCCACCCAACTCCTCCAACCACACAGTAACTATCGATATCCACCCAACTCCTCCAACCACACAGTAAGTAGCTATATCCACCCAACTCCTCCACCACACAGTAACTATCGATATCCACCCAACTCCTCCAACCACCACGTACACTATCGATATCCACCCAACTCCTCCAACCACACAGTAAGTAGCTATATCCACCCAACTCCTCCAACCACACAGTAACTATCTATATCCAATCAATCATCAATCAATTTTATTTTATATAGCCCTTCTTACATCAGCTAATATCTCGAAGTGCTGTACAGAAACCCAGCCTAAAACCCCAACAGCTAGTAATGCAGGTGTAGAAGCACGTGGCTAGGAAAAACTCCCTAGAAAGCAAAACCTAGGAAGAAACCTAGAGAGGAACCAGCTATGAGGGGTGGCCAGTCCTCTTCTGGCTGTGCCGGGTGGAGATTATAACAGAACCATGCCAAGATGTTCAAAAATGTTCATAAGTGACAAGCATGGTCAAATAATAATCAGGAATAAATCTCAGTTGGCTTTTCATAGCCGATCATTAGAGTTTAAAACAGCAGGTCTGGGACAGGTAGGGGTTCCATAACCGCAGGCAGAACAGTTTAAACTGGAATAGCAGCAAGGCCAGGCGGACTGGGGACAGCAAGGAGTCACCACGGCCGGTAGTCCCGACGTATGGTCCTAGGGCTCTGGTCTCTCCACCAACTCCTCCAACCACATAGTAAGTAGCTATATCCACCAACTCCTCCAACCACACAGTAACTATCTATATCCACCAACTCCTCCAACCACACAGTAACTATCTATATCCACCAACTCCTCCAACCACATAGTAAGTAGCTATATCCACCCAACTCCTCCAACCACACATTAACTATCTATATCCACCAACTCCTCCAACCACATAGTAAGTAGCTATATCCACCCAACTCCTCCAACCACACAGTAACTATCTATATCCACCAACTCCTCCAACCACACAGTAACTATCTATATCCACCAACTCCTCCAACCACACAGTAACTATCTATATCCACCCAACTCCTCCAACCACATAGTAAGTAGCTATATCCACCCAACTCCTCCAACCACACAGTAACTATCTATAAACACCCAACTCAAAGCTATTCAGAAAGTATTCAGACCCCTTGACTTTTTGCACATTTTGTTACGTTACAGACCTATTCTAAAATACAACACCCCATAATGACAAAGCAAAAACAGGTTTTTAGAAATGTTAGCAAATTTATTACAAATAAAAAAAGTGTAACATCACATTTACATACGTATTCGGACCCTTTACTCAGTACTTTGTTGAAGCACCTTTGGCAGCGATTACAGCCTCGAGTCTTCTTGGGTTTGACGTTACAAGCTTGGCACACCTGTATTTGGGGAGTTTCTCCCGTTCTTCTCTGCAGATCCTCTCAAACTTTGTCAGGTTGGATGGGGAGCGTCGCTGCACAGCTATTTTCAGGTCTCTCCAGAGATGTTCGATCAGGTTTAAGTCCGGGCTCTGGCTGGGCCACTCAAGGACATTCAGAGACTTGTCCCGAAGCCACTCCTGCGTTGTCTTGGCTGTGTGCTTAGGGTCGTTGTCCTGTTGGAAGGTGCATCTTCGCCCCAGTCTGAGGTCCTGAGCGCTCTGGAGCAGGTTTTCATCAAGGATCTCTCTGTACTTTGCTCCATTCATCTTTCCCTCGATCCTGACTAGTCTCCCAGTCCCTGCCGCTGAAAAACATCCCCACAGCATGATGCTGCCACCACCATGCTTCACCGTAGGGATGGTGCCAGGTTTCCTCCAGACGCAACACTTGGCATTCAGGCCAAAGAGTTCAATCTTGGTTTCATCAGACCAGATAATCTTGTTTCTCATGGTCTGAGAGTCCTTTAGGTGCCTTCTGGCAAACTCCAAGCGGGCTGTCATGTGCCTTTTACTGAGGAATTGCTTCCATCTGGCCACTCTACCATAAAGGCCTGATTGGCGGAGTGCTGCAGAGGTGGTTGTCCTTCTGGAAGGTTCTCCCATCTCCACAGAGGAACTCTGGAGCTCTGTCAGAGTGACCATCGGGTTCTTGGTCACCTCCCTGACCAAGGCCCTTCTCCCCCGATTGCTCAGTTTGGCTGGGCGGCCAGCTCTAGGAAGAGTATTGGTGGTTCCAAACTTCTTCCATTTAAGAATGATCGAGGCCACCGTGTTCTTGGGGACCATCAATGCTGCAGACCTTTTTTTGGTACCCTTCCCCAGATCTGTGCCTCGACACAATCCTGTCTCGGAGCTCTACGGACAATTCCTTCGACCTCATGGCTTGGTTTTTGCTCTGACATGCGCTGTCAACTGTGGGACCTTATATAGACAGGTATGTGCCTTTCCAAACCATGTCCAATCAATTTAATTTACCACAGGTGGACTCCAATCAAGTTGTAGAAACATCTCAAGGATGATCAATGGAAACAGGATGCACCTGTGCTCAATTTTGAGTCTCATGGCAAACGGTCTGAATACTTATGTAAATAAGGTCTTTCTGTTTTTAATTTAAATACATTTGCTAAAATGTCTAAAAACCTGTTTTTGCTTTGTCATTATGGGTTATTGTCTGTAGATTGATGAGGAAATAAATAAATGTAATACATTTTAAAATAAGGCTGTAACGTAACAAAATGTGGAAAAAGGGAAGGGGTCTGAATACTTTCTGAATACACTGTACACCCAACTCCTCCAACCACACAGTAAGTATGAAATATGACAATAGAGTAACGAAAGTGGACAATTAATTTCACCCTTTCTCAAAACAGGAAGTTTATTTGACACTTTTCCAAATATTTTCCCCAATCATGTATGACAACCAATGTAATCAGGGATAAATATGGTTACTGATTTTTCTAGATTTATTTTGTGTCTTATGAATAATGATTATGTGGCATGTTATCATTCTCACAAATATGTTTTCTCCACTCAGGCACACAATAGAGAACAGGCTTCCGGTAATGGTAAGTTACAATTTCTCAACCTGTTTCAGAACATCATTTGTCAACCTATTTCAAAACATCATTTGTCAACCTGTTTCAGAACATCATTTGTCAACCTGTTTCAGAACATCATTTGTCAACCTATTTCAGAACATCAATTGTCAACCTATTTCAGAACATAATTTGTCAACCTATTTCAGAACATCATTTGTCAACCTATTTCAGAACATCATTTTGGAAACCCTTTTACAATGACCACTTTTGTCAGAGACTACACTGAGTTGTATTGATATGAAATCCTTATTTCTTGATATGAAGCAAACTTTACCCTTACATATATTCCTGTCCCTTCCAGACGAAGACCTTGTCATGGCTCTGCACGACTTTAAACCAACCACTGACAATGACCTGCCGTTCAGAAAGGGAGAGAAACTTCAGATCCTCCAGGAGTGAGTACAATACAGCCTAATTCATGATAAGGGCTCCCGAGTGGCGCAGCGATCTACGGCACTGTATCTCAGCGCTTGAGGCGTCACTACAGCCACCCTGGTTTGATTCCGGTGTAGGCCGTCATTGTAAATAAGAATTTGTTCTAAACTGACTTGCCTAGTTAAATAAAAAATATAAATATTAGGGGAGATGTCATGCTAATGTATAGTTCTCAGACAACGGTCCTGATAACATATGCTCAATCTGATAAGAAAGGATAGTACCTTTGGAGGCACCGTACCTAGCTTCTGTTTGATGTGTAACAACATACACAAACATACTCTGTCGTTGTTCTTTTTATTTTTTTATTTTTTTTATTCCCCTTAATTACTTTTCAACCCCGCCACCCCTTTCCCTACTTGGGGTAAACTAGTGAACAACAACGCCCAGGCCTCTACTTCCAGCTTATACTTACTATATACATTTTATGGACACAGTCAATTTTACAATAATTATATTTTGTTTTTGTTTTTTTCCTCCTGAACTTCTTCTACCCTCCACCTCTCCGATCATTTTCATGATGTCCATCCGGTTTTGCTTCCGTATGCCATATCTTTCCCAACGGTGCTCTTTCTCGTTGTTCTTTGAAGGAATGGGGACTGGTGGCTTGCTAGGTCACTGGTGACGGGAGAGGAGGGGTACATTCCATGTACATACGTGGTCAGAGCGGACACACTAGAAGTAGAAAAGTAAGTTAATCTTCTCACACATGTCAGCCATTTTAATTTTTGTTGATAACTTAACATTTCGATGCATGGGTTATGATACGGTTACAGTACGTACTTCACCTTGAAAGGAAATGAAAACCACTTTCCTTTCCTGTATCAGTATGCTAAGTACGTAACACATTATATGACAACTCTTCCCTGATCTTCCATGTATTGTAGATGGTTTTTCAAGGACCTGAGTCGTAGAGAGACAGAGCGTCTGCTCCTGGCTCCGGGGAATAAAGTGGGTTCGTTTCTAGTCCGAGAGAGTGAGACCAGCAAAGGTCTGAATCATTACATCCTCTCTGCCTTTTAAAGTACAAAGATCACCATTTCCATAACAACACAACATTTTCTTATTCAAAATAGCTCCATCAAATATTTCCCTGTTGGGATCTTTTAACACTGAAAGACTTGGAATGGTCAAATCATCCATCTTGTACGTGCAACCATACAACTGACATTAACAGAACCGACGTACAAACTAACTGATATCACAAGGACTGAAAACCCTCAGAAAGCTGTGAGCTAAAACCACACTAATACCGTACGTATCGTTGTCATGTCGCCCCCAAAGGTGCATTCTCCCTGTCCATCAGAGACGCAGGGGCGGAGCAAGGGGACGTGGTGAAACACTACAAGATCCGCAGCCTGGACAACGGAGGGTTCTACATCTCCCCTTCCACCTCCTTCTCCTCCCTGCAGGAGCTGATCAAGCATTACACCCGTGAGTTAAAATTGCCGTCAGGTTGTGCTTTATTGTCTTTGTTAGAGTTAAAATGGCCGTCAGGTTGTGCTTTATTGTCTTTGTTAGAGTTAAAATGGCCGTCAGGTTGTGCTTTATTGTCTTTATTAGAGTTAAAATGGATCTTATTAACCAGCTGGCAGGAAGTCAACTCTTCATATAGTGGAGTAGAGTTATCTTGATTAAAAGCTAAGGAGGACCTCTGCCTCACGTTGTGCTTCATTTCCTGTCGAGGTAAGCAGTGCTCTTTCCTCTGCTGCGGTGGCCCAATAACCAAACAAGCAGGCCAGCTCTCCACCCCAGAAACAGCCCAATAACCAAACAAGCAGGCCTGTAAGGCAGAAAGGTTCTCTCTCATTAAATCACATCCAATTATTTTATTTGTCACCTGCGGCGAGAAAAAAACAACAACGGTTGTAGACTTTAAAATGAAATGCTTACTTACGCGCCCTTTCCAAAGACGCAGAAAATAAAAATGTGTAACATAAGAGGAATAAAATACACAAGAATGGAGCTATATACAGGAAGTACCAGATATATACAGGAAGTACCAGATCACTGTGGAGCTATATACAGGAAGTACCAGATATATACAGGAAGTACCAGATCACTGTGGAGCTATGTACAGGAAGTACCAGATATATACAGGAAGTACCAGATATATACAGGAGGTACCAGATCACTGTGGAGCTATATACAGGAAGTACCAGATATATACAGGAAGTACCAGATCACTGTGGAGCTATATACAGGAAGTACCAGATCAATGTGGAGCTATATACAGGAAGTACCAGATCAATGTGGAGCTATATACAGGAAGTACCAGATCAATGTGGAGCTATATACAGGAAGTACCAGATATATACAGGAAGTACCAGTACCAGATCAATGTGGAGCTATATACAGGGAGTACCAGTACCAGATCAATGTGGAGCTATATACAGGGAGTACCAGTACCAGATCAAGGTGGAGCTATATACAGGAAGTACCGGAATCAGATCAATGTGGAGCTATATACAGGAAGTACCGGTATCAGATCAATGTGCAGAGGTACGGGTATTTGAGGTACAGTAGTACATGAAGGCAGGGTAAAGTGACTAGGCCAGGATAGTAATAATAAGGTATTTGAGGTAGATATGTACATGAAGGCAGGGTAAAGTGACTAGGCATCAGGATAGATAATAATAAGGTATTTGAGGTAGATATGTACATGAAGGCAGGGTAAAGTGACTAGGCATCAGGATAGATAATAATAAGGTATTGAGGTAGATATGTACATGAAGGCAGGGTAAAGTGACTAGGCATCAGGATAGATAATAATAAGGTATTTGAGGTAGATATGTACATGAAGGCAGGGTAAAGTGACTAGGCATCAGGATAGATATAATAAGGTATTTGAGGTAGATATGTACATGAAGGCAGGGTAAAGTGACCAGGCATCAGGATATATAATAAGGTATTTGAGGTAGATATGTACATGAAGGCAGGGTAAAGTGACTAGGCATCAGGATAGATAATAATAAGGTATTTGAGGTAGATATGTACATGAAGGCAGGGTAAAGTGACTAGGCATCAGGATAGATAATAATAAGGTATTTGAGGTAGATATGTACATGAAGGCAGGGTAAAGTGATTAGGCATCAGGATAGATAATAATAATAAGGTATTTGAGGTAGATATGTACATGAAGGCAGGGTAAAGTGACTAGGCATCAGGATAGATAATAATAAGGTATTTGAGGTAGATATGTACATGAAGGCAGGGTAAAGTGACTAGGCATCAGGATAGATAATAATAAGGTATTTGAGGTAGATATGTACATGAAGGCAGGGTAAAGTGACTAGGCATCAGGATAGATAATAATAAGGTATTTGAGGTAGATATGTACATGAAGGCAGGGTAAAGTGACTAGGCATCAGGATAGATAATAATAAGGTATTTGAGGTAGATATGTACATGAAGGCAGGGTAAAGTGACTAGGCATCAGGATAGATAATAATAAGGTATTTGAGGTAGATATGTACATGAAGGCAGGGTAAAGTGACTAGGCATCAGGATAGATAATAATAAGGTATTTGAGGTAGATATGTACATGAAGGCAGGGTAAAGTGACTAGGCATCAGGATAGATAATAATAAGGTATTTGAGGTAGATATGTACATGAAGGCAGGGTAAAGTGACTAGGCATCAGGATAGATAATAATAAGGTATTTGAGGTAGATATGTACATGAAGGCAGGGTAAAGTGACTAGGCATCAGGATAGATAATAATAAGGTATTTGAGGTAGATATGTACATGAAGGCAGGGTAAAGTGACTAGGCAACAGGATAGATAATAATAAGGTATTTGAGGTAGATATGTACATGAAGGCAGGGTAAAGTGACTAGGCATCAGGATAGATAATAATAAGGTATTTGAGGTAGATATGTACATGAAGGCAGGGTAAAGTGACTAGGCATCAGGATAGATAATAATAAGGTATTTGAGGTAGATATGTACATGAAGGCAGGGTAAAGTGACTAGGCATCAGGATAGATAATAATAATCTATTTGAGGTAGATATGTACATGAAGGCAGGGTAAAGTGACTAGGCATCAGGATAGATAATAATAAGGTATTTGAGGTAGATATGTACATGAAGGCAGGGTAAAGTGACTAGGCATCAGGATAGATAATAATAAGGTATTTGAGGTAGATATGTACATGAAGGCAGGGTAAAGTGACTAGGCATCAGGATAGATAATAATAAGGTATTTGAGGTAGATATGTACATGAAGGCAGGGTAAAGTGACTAGGCATCAGGATAGATAATAATAAGGTATTTGAGGTAGATATGTACATGAAGGCAGGGTAAAGTGACTAGGCATCAGGATATATAATAATAAGGGTACAATAAAGAACAGAGTAGCAGCAGCAATGATGAGTGTGAAAGTGTGTGAGTGTGTGTGTGAGTGTAATGTGTATGTATGTGTGTTTGTGTTGCGTCGGTCTGTGTGTGTGCAGTGCCTTCAGAAAGTATTCACACCCCTTGACTTTTCCACATTTTGTTCTGTTACAGCCTGAATTTAAAACGGATTCAATTGAGATGTCGTGTCACTGGCCTAAACACAATACCCCATAATGGCAAAGTGGAATTATGTATTTAGAATTTTTTACAACTTAATTTAAAATGAAAAGCTGAAATGTCTTGAGTCAATAAGTATTCAAACCCTTTGTTAGAGCAAGCCTAAATAAGTTCAGGAGTAAACATTTGCTGAACAAGTCCCATAATAAGTTTAATGGACTCACTCTCTGTGTAATAATAGTGTTTAACATGATTTCTGAATGACTACCTCATCTCTGTACCCCACACATACAATTATCTGAAAGGTTCCTTAGTCGAGCAGTGATTTTCAAACACAGATTCATCCACAAAGACCAGGAAGGTTTTCCAATGCCTTGCAAAGAAGGACACCTATTGGTAGATGGGTAAAAAAAAAAAGCAGACATTGAATATCCCTTTGAGCATGGTGAAGTTATTAATTACACTTTGGATGGTGTATCAATACACCCAGTCACTACAAAGATACAGGCGTCCTTCCTAACTCAGTTGCCGGAGAGGAAGGAACCTACTCAGGGATTTCACCATGAGGGCAATAGTGACTTTAAAACAGTTACAGAGTTGAATGGCTGTGATGGGAGGAAATTGAGGATGGATCAACAACATTGTAGTTACTCCACAATACTAACCTAAATGACAGAGTGAAAAGAAGGAAGCCTGTACAGAATATAGTGCAACAAATATTCCAAAACATGCATCCTGTTTGCAATAAGGCACTAAAGTAATACTGCAAAAAATGTGGCAAAATAACTTTTTGTCTTTTTGTCCTGAATACAAAGTGTTATGTTTGGGGCAAATCCAACACAACACATCACTGAGTACCGCTATTCTGATAGGAGACTCTAGAATGATCCATCAAATTCTGGAGGACATTTTTCTCTTAATCTCAGTCTCAGCAGGATGCCAGCCCGTCTACCACCAGCCCGTCTACCGCCAGCCCGTCTAGCGCCAGCCCGTCTACCGTCAGCCCGTCCACCGTCAGCCCGCTACCGTCAGCCCGTCCACCGTCAGCCCGTCTACCGCCAGCCCGTCTACCGTCAGCCCGTCTACCGTCAGCCCGTCTACCGTCAGCCCGTCTACCGCCAGCCCGTCCACCGTCAGCCCGCTACCGTCAGCCCGTCTACCACCAGCCCGTCTACCGTCAGCCCGTCTACCGTCAGCCCGTCTACCGTCAGCCCGTCCACCGTCAGCCCGCTACCGTCAGCCCGCTACCGTCAGCCCGTCCACCGTCAGCCCGTCTACCGTCAGCCCGTCTACCGCCAGCCCGTCCACCGTCAGCCCGCTACCACCAGCCCGTCCACCGTCAGCCCGTCTACCGCCAGCCCGTCCACCGTCAGCCCGCTACCACCAGCCCGTCCACCGTCAGCCCGTCTACCGTCAGCCCGTCTACCGTCAGCCCGTCTACCACCTGCAGCATGTTGGTAGCTGATGAAACAAGGGAATAGGGTCCGGTTTGAAGAAGGGAACACTCCGGAACAGCTGAGTCGGAGTTGAAGTCGAAAAAAGTCACTAAATAGCAAAGTCGGGTTGGAACTCGTAAGATGTCGGCCTTCTCCATCGGCGCCATCTTTTTTTTTTTTTTTTATGTCACACATAATGTTTCTCTCATTATGGGGCTCTATCCAATCAGATCCGTTTTAGCCGACATCCGCATAGCGGTTGTTATGACGTGTCGGAGGTGGAACTGCTTTAGAACCGTTAAATCCACAAGTAGCTCCTGGCGTTACATCTAAACCAGAGTTACCATTAGATAGTATTTTACGAATCCCCCAGAGGGGAAATTTGATTGCACCAGCCAATTCATACATTGCCAATAAATACACCATAAAAACGCAACAAGGATACACAAACATCATCAATTAATATATAAAAAAAACTAAGTGTTGGTGTTAAAAAAAAAGCCTCATAGCATATGATAAAAAGGATCTGCGGAAACGTCCTGTTTTGGACCTTGTAAACATGCAGCCTTGTTTCCAAGTTCCAACACTTGGATGTGAGATGTAATCTACACCTCCATTATGATGATAGAAATCCTCTTTATTTTGTTGCATGATTTTTTAAAATGTGTGCGTAATTATTTCTACAATTTCTCGTACTGAACTTCTAACATGAGTGGGGCGGGTGTGGCTTCAAGACAATGGTCTCAAGAGCAGCTGTTCACTGATTTGACTGCTCCAACACAGTTTCACCTCCGACATCAAAAACATCCGCTATGTGGGTGCCTGCTATCACCATTTAACACTTGATCTGATTGAATCCATGTCGTGTAAAGGGAAGACTTTAAAAACATGGCAGAGTTTTTTGTGTGTTATTTCTGTGTATGCAAATCTTCAGGCCTCTGGAAACGTTACTCAGCTAGCGAGCATGGTTCACCAAATCACCTTTGTTATAGGTCTTCAGATGCCTTCTGGCTGGGTGCTCTACCGCAATCAATAACAATAACGTGCAATACATAGGGATGTAGCCGTGTCACAGGGACGGCTGACGGGATGTAATTCTCTCTGGGGTCTGTTGCCGTGTCACAGGGACGGCTGACAGGATGTAATTCTCTCTGGGGTCTGTTGCCGTGTCACAGGGACGGCTGACAGGATGTAATTCTCTCTGGGGTCTGTTGCCGTGTCACAGGGACGGCTGACAGCTTGTAATTCTCTCTGGGGTCTGTTGCTGTGTCACAGGGACGGCTGACAGGATGTAATTCTCTCTGGGGTCTGTTGCCGTGTCACAGGGACGGCTGACAGGATGTAATTCTCTCTGGGGTCTGTTGCCGTGTCACAGGGACGGCTGACAGGATGTAATTCTCTCTGGGGTCTGTTGCCGTGTCACAGGTACGGGTGATGGGTTGTGTCAGCGTCTGAATGCCCCCTGCAAATCGAAGGCCCCCATGCAGCCGTGGGCCCAGGACGAGTGGGAGATCCCCAGAGACACGCTGAAAATGGTCAGGAAGCTGGGAGCAGGACAGTTTGGAGAAGTCTGGATGGGTACGAGAGATGCTGAGGCAACGTTTGTGTTTGTTTGTGTTTAGCTTTGCATTAACGTTCTTCCCACTTTTCTCCAAACGGTCATCAGTCCGTTACATAAGTCTGTCATCAGTCCGTTACATAAGTCTGTCATCAGTCCGTTACATGTCTGTCATCAGTCCGTTACATGTCTGTCATCAGTCCGTTACATGTCTGTCATCAGTCCGTTACATGTCTGTCATCAGTCCGTTACATGTCTGTCATCAGTCCGTTACATGTCTGTCATCAGTCCGTTACATAAGTCTGTCATCAGTCCGTTACATAAGTCTGTCATCAGTCCGTTACATAAGTCTGTCATCAGTCCGTTACATAAGTCTGTCATCAGTCCGTTACATAAGTCTGTCATCAGTCCGTTACATAAGTCTGTCATCAGTCCGTTACATAAGTCTGTCTCATCAGTCCGTTACATAAGTCTGTCATCATTCCGTTACATAAGTCTGTCATCAGTCCGTTACATAGTCTGTCATCAGTCCGTTACATAAGTCTGTCCTCAGTCCGTTACTAAGTCTGTCATCACCGTTACATAGTCTGTCCATCAGTCCTTACATAAGTCTGTCATCAGTCCGTTACATAAGTCTGTCATCATCAGTCCGTTACATAAGTCTGTCATCAGTCCGTTACATAAGTCTGTCATCAGTCCGTTACATAAGTCTGTCATCAGTCCGTTCACATAAGTCCTATGACTCGGGGGTTCTTCCCGTATTTCGTCCCTATGGCCAGGTTACTATAAGGGCTCCCATATTTCGTCCCTATGGCCAGGTTACTATAAGGGCTCCCATATTTCGTCCCAATGGCCAGGTTACTATAAGGGCTCCCATATTTCGTCCCTATGGCCAGGTTACTATAAGGGCTCCCATATTTCGTCCCAATGGCCAGGTTACTATAAGGGCTCCCTGTGTTTCGTCCCTATGGCCAGGTTACTATAAGTGCTCCCATATTTCGTCCCTATGGCCAGGTTACTATAAGGGCTCCTGTGTTTCGTCCCTATGGCCAGGTTACTATAAGGGCTCCCATATTTCGTCCCTATGGCCAGGTTACTATAAGGGCTCCCATATTTCGTCCCAATGGCCAGGTTACTATAAGGGCTCCCATATTTCGTCCCAATGGCCAGGTTACTACAAGGGCAGTCAGAAGGTGGCGGTGAAGACCCTGAAGGAAGGGACCATGGCGCCCGAGGCCTTCCTCCAGGAGGCTAACCTGATGAAGCAGCTGCAACACGACAGACTGGTACGCCTCCACGCCGTCGTCACCATGGAACCCATCTACATCGTCACAGAGTTCATGATCAATGGTGAGAGAGAGAGAGAGCGAGAGGAGAAGAGATAGAGAGATAGAGATATAGAGAGAGAGAGAGAGAAGAGAGAGAGAGAGAGAGAGAGAGAGAGAGAGAGAGAGAGTCTGTGTGTTTTGACCATGGAATTACATATAGAGACATTAGAGTGGACGTTGGTATCCTAGCAACATGACTAAAACGATAGGTTGTTATCGATACACTGCAGAACGTTCGATTTTGCCTGCTGGGGAGCAAGGAGAACCCCCTGCTCCTATAAAGCCATTGACAACTGTGTGCCGTTTTCAAGGGATTATCAAATAAATGTTACAACTATTTGGTTTTAATAAAGATCAGAACTACTAAAACAACAGTCAGAACTACACACTTACGATTATTTCATGCTAAACAATTGCGCACATTTAGCTCTATCGTTACAGTTATAATAACCTATCCATTTGGTATGTAGCTAGCTAGCTAAGCAAACAACTTGTGTCATTTGGCTTGCTTCATCGGAGATTATGCTTTTTTGGAAAGAATTGACACTAGCCTATTTTTACTGACAACTGTCATCACTACTATAGATGGCAAGCAAATCAAACAATATTTAGATATAGGCATCTAGTTTATCCCATTGAACGTTAGCTAATTAAATACTATTAATGGCGTGATCTGTCATTAGCTAGCTAGCTAGCCAATTTGACGTGGTCCATCAATCAATGTAGCCTCTCATGTCTGATCAGCAGCAATCACGATTAAAACGCTCTAAAAAACAATGTTGGAAAAGGGATAACGTTAGCTAACCTAGGTAGCTCTGTTGGAAAAGGGATAACGTTAGCTAACCTAGGTAGCTCTGTTGGAAAAGGGATAACGTTAGCTAACGTAGGTAGCTATGTTGGAAAAGGGATAACGTTAGCTAACCTAGGTAGCTATGTTGGAAAAGGGATAACGTTAGCTAACCTAGGTAGCTATGTTGGAAAAGGGATAACGTTAGCTAACCTAGGTAGCTCTGTTGGAAAAGGGATAACGTTAGCTGACCTAGGTAGCTCTGTTGGAAAAGGGATAACGTTAGCTAACCTAGGTAGCTCTGTTGGAAAAGGGATAACGTTAGCTAACCTAGGTAGCTATGTTGGTTGGAGAAAAAAAAAAAGTACATTACTTACCACCAAATGTTTAGCCAACTGTACAACATTTCTAGCTACCAGTAGATTGCAAAGTAAACATTCTCAGCTAACTTAGCCAACATGCTACTTGACAGGCAGAGCCCACAAAGGCCTAAACCACTCATAAGGTCATACTTGTCAGGTACTTTAACTTTATATCACTTAAATGCCCAATTAAATGGCGGCCAATATTAACGAGATATTAGCCGCCAAGAAATCTGATCAACTGATCACGAAAAGCATGCAACTCTGACGATAGAGATAAATGTGTGCAATAGTTTCGCAAGGAAGAATCAGAAATGAGTAGGTCTGACTATGCTCTTCGAGAGGTGACGATATTACAACCAAATAATGGTAACATTTATTTTGTGGTCCTCTGTAGCTCAATTGGTAGAGCATGGCGCTTGTAACGCCCAGGGTAGTGGGTTCGATCCCCGGGACCACCCATACGTAAAAATGTATGCGCACGTGACTGTAAGTCGCTTTGGATAAAAGCGTCTGCTAAATGGCTTATTATTTGCAATCCCTTGAAAACGGCAGTTGTCAATGATTTTAGTGGAGGTGGACGTCTCCTTGCCCCCCCCAGAAGGCAAATGGAACGCAGCTTATTGTTACGTTTTTATTGATAACGACCTATTGCAATTTATTCCTGACCAAGATGGCTACCATTATCGGCCACTCTAGTAAATTATAAGATCTCAACGGGAAGGACACCGCTGTATGCTTTAGGCGTTGCAGGAAATGTTATTAAGAAAATGGGTTACACTTTCTTTTATGGTCTTTCCATTGGTATTTAGCTGGTATTAACCTGGTATTTTTTTGTAGAAATGTACATTATGTGGTAACAATGGGTTAGGGTTTCTGCATTCGGGTAACCTAGATAGATAGTACCTAGATATTTATGTTACTGTGAAGTAAAGTGCTACAGTTCTAATGGCTTTTTGGTGCTTCATGTTTTCTCATCTATAGGAAGCCTGTTGGATTTCCTAAAAACAGACGAGGGCAAGAAGTTGAAGCTCCCCAAGCTGATAGACATGTCAGCCCAGGTGGGACCTCACACAAGTCATTCTTCTAAATTGACTTCATTGTAGGAGTCAAATGTAAAAAATTAAAATAAAAAATGCCCAGAAGAAATTGAAAACGTGATCTGGTAGATTGTGTATTCAGTGTTCTTCTCTAAGATGTATATTATATTATGTTTGGCATTTGACCAGTATCATATGCCAACTGCTATTCGCCTATATTCAATCTCCTAAAACCATGTCTTGATTTAAAATGCTGAAAGATGGCCAGCTCTTTGCCAAACAGTTGGCTGTTGGCAATTTGAAGAGCTTCAAATCCCTGAGCCGAAACGCTAGACATGTAAACGCTTGTTTTCCTCTCTCTCTGAATACCGTATGCACTACTTATCTTGTGTCCCAAATGGCACCCTATTTCTATATAGTGCACTACTTTTGACCATAGCCCCTATGGGCAGTGCACTAGGTAGGGGATAAAGTGTCATTTGGGAGGCAGCTACTGAGTTGTTCACCAGTAGAGGAAACTAAACTAAACATTTCAAAGAACTCAACTATTTATAGTCCATCGCACCACAGGTTTTAAAAGCAGGCTTCTTCTTCTTTTTTTTTTTTTTTTTGTTGCTGCACAAGCATGTGGAAAGTGTCAGATCTAGCTCGCTAGTGTGTAAAATGAGGTGGTTCCTGCGGCGGGCTAAGAAGAGATGGTTGTGTACTGCTGGGTCTTCCAGCCCCACCCTGCTGCCTCCATCATTAACATCCGGACAGGAAGTCAAGTGATTTTTTTTCTTCTTCCAGCCACCGTGGCATGCGCCCCCCTGAGACCACACGTGTCACTTCCTTTGAGAGGACATATCCTGTCTAAACCCACTTTACTGTGTCAAGGGGTTGCGTTCCTAATGGCATCCTTTTTTTACTATGTAGTGCGCTACTTTTGACCCTGGGCCCTGGTCAAAAGTAGTGCACTATATAAGGGATAGGGTGCCATTTTGGGACACACGTGACTGTGCCAGTATCACCCTGTACCCCGAGGTCTTACCAGAATGGAGTGAAGGAGCGTTGTGGGGAGATACACTCTTAAGACTGCATAGGAACAAAATAAGTAACAGTGTTGAAATGGTCTGACATCCGGTGATGCATGTGTCAAGCCTACACGAGGCTCTGTGTTTTTAGCAATCATTTGGGTCAATCAGAATGATTCTATTTGATCTAACTTAGAACTCAGCAAGCTTTTTGTAAAAATGACTGTCTAGAAATGTCTAACTGATCTCTCTCTCTCTCTCTCTCTCTCTCTTTCTCTCTATCTCTCTCTCTCTCTCCTCTCTCTCTCTCTCTCTCCTCTCTCTCCTCTCTCTCCTCTCTCTCTCTCTCCCTCTCTCTCTCTCTCTTTCTCTCTCATATACTAGATAGCTGAAGGTATGGCCTACATTGAGAAGAAGAACTATATCCACAGAGACCTGCGAGCTGCCAACATTCTGGTCAATGAGACTCTCCACTGCAAAATAGCAGACTTTGGCCTGGCCAGAATCATAGAAACCGAGTACACAGCACAGGAAGGTACGACTATTAGGCAGCGTTTATACAGGCAGCCCAATTCTGATCTTTTGGCCAATTATAGGCAAAGGATCTGATCTGATTGGTCAAAAGACCAATTACTGGCAAAAGATCAGAAATGGTCTGCCTGTGAAAAACAAAACTTTAGGCCATATTCCCTCTACGAGATATGAAGGAGAGGTGCCGGATGGCGGAAGAGAATTCTGCTTTTCAATTCACATCCTTGTCTTACCTTTCGTTGCAACGCGACGCTCTTCGTCCGCAGCTCAAATTAACCGTAAATATCACAGTAGCCACTAGCCAGAAAGAACCACAAACTATTAGACAATGACAGAAACGTTTCTTCTGAAACATATTACAATAGTGAATAATGCAACCAAACCATATTACACCGTTGAATAATACAGCAATTTTAGCTTCAAGACAAAAGCACAGAGTTGCTAACGGCATGTCTTCCTCAAGTAGCACTAGCCTTGAATGATTAACCCTCTCATGCGAACATAACAGTACAGTACGCCTACCTTAAACATTACAACAAACCAGGCTTCATTTTTATCAATCATTACATGTAGGAAAAGCAAAATTGCGACTGAAAAAGTGGGTGTAAGTGAATTCACCACAATGGGCTGTTTTATATGGGAGCTCATACCAACCAGCAAAAAATTAAAAATAAAAAAAGATTTGCCAACATGCACAATTAGTCTGTGCTTCAGTCTGATCAACTGAAGTCTACTGTTAACAACCACAGCTGCCGGTGATCCCATCTGATCCCACCTGATCCCATCTTGATCCCATCTTGATCCCATCTGTAAACTCAGCGTCATGTTTTTTATGGCCTAAAATAGGCCCATTTATTTGTGTTCTGAGAAAATGTGAATGTGATCAAATGTGGTTTTATACTCACACTTCAGGTGGTTAGACTACCTGGGCCTTTTTAATCCAAACTGATTGACTGGAATTAATCAATCAACACAATAGTGATGACATACTGCCTGAGTAAAATAAATTACAGACCCTGCAACCCTGCATACAGCTAGCTCAGCCCTGTTAGGTTTGGTCCAATAGCAGTTGTTATTTATTTGTCAGTGTAAAGGGTTTTAATGTTTTCATCCTCCCTAGGGCCAGGAGTTTTTCCAGGAGTTAAAAAAACAACAACATACGACCTGATTAGAAAAATTATCTGGTCCCATCATAGCCCATATAAAACCGTTTTTTTTTACAGCTGATTTTTTACTGCAAGCTCTCACAGTCATCATTCTAGAATTAGAGGTACATCCACCTTCTCTAAACGTCAAATTTCGAAGTTGCTCTAAACGTCAGATTTCGAAGTTGCTCCAAACGTCAGATTTCGAAGTTGCTCCAATCGTCAGATTTCGAAGTTGCTCCAATCGTCAGATTTCGAAGTTGCTCCAATCGTCAGATTTCGAAGTTGCTCCAAACGTCAGATTTCGAAGTGTTTTTGTTGCTCCTGCTGCTGCATCGTCCCATTTCTAAGTTAAGGGTCATGTTTAGACACTCATTCCGAATGGTTAAAGGTTAAAAGTTAAGGGTTTACATTTACATTATTTAGCAGACGCTCTTATCCAGAGCGACTTACAGGAGCAATTAGGGTTAAGTGCCTTGCTCAAGGGCACATCGACAGATTTTTCACCTAGTTGGCTCAGGGATTAGAACCAGCGACCTTTCGGTTACTGGCACAACGCTCTTAACCACTAAGCTACCTGCCGGTTAAAGGGTAGGTAGCGTAAACGTAACCACGTGTAACATATGGATTTGCATTAGTATATGCATGAAAAGTCCCTGTCGCACCTCACGTGCAAAGTTCCAGGTGGTAGGTGTTACACCTCACTTTTCTATTACATGAAGTCGATCAAGAATTCTGAAGAATGCTGAAGTCATGTGGAAAATGTTTTTCCGGGGCGTGATGTAATATGGAGGACCCTATAATGTAAACTCCAACTTGAATAACTTCAAATGCATAACTTCAAACTAAACCAGATCGTTTGCACTCATGACTACTGGTTTCGATAAAATGTTTGGCCAACTTACAAAGCAAATACAGATCAACTTGCATGGTTGCTAGCCAACTAGCCTGCTAATGTTAGCCAACTAGCATGCTAACGTTAGCCTTACTAGCCTGCTAAAGTTATTTTAGCACTGAATTAGTCAGCCAGTTGCTATCAACAACTAGCTTACAGCTACAGTGATTTCAGAAAGTATTCATACCCCTTGACTTATGACACATTTTGTTGTGTTACAGCCTGAGTAAAAAAAAAAAAATGTATCACCCATAATGACAAAGTGAAAACATGTTTTTAGACATTTTTGCAAATTTTTTGAAAATGAAATACAGATATCTAATTTAGGTAAGTATTCACACCCTTGAGAACAGACAGGTATACTACAGCACAGGATCAGTGAGTTAGCCAGCTAACTTTGATAAGCAACCAGAAATAACTATAGATTTTCTGGTTCATTAAGACATCTAAACTTAGATATGTGTTTTTGGTTGTTGAGTCAATTAGACCATGCCCATTTCAAGTTTATCTTTCCCCAAAATAAAAAGTTATTTCAGTTAGCTGGCTAACTCATCTAGCCTGCTTTGCAGTCTACCCCTTTGCTTATCTCGAAACTAAATTAATCACTGATGCAATGAAGCTTATCTGTGTTTCCGTTCTAAATGTGTATCATTTTCCACTGTGAGAAAATAACATTATTGCTTGTGTGGTATCGAGTAAAAGTTGCTAGTCATTGCTGATAAACAAAGGAGTCCGCTCATACTGAACCTTGATCATAAGTTTATTCATATCACAACCTTTCAGCATGAGTTACAGGTGTCAAGATCACCCGGAGAGCAACGTCCCAGATTGCAATGGCTGCTCTAACCTCTTCTTCCTCCAGCATATACTTATAAACAATGCAAAAATATGGGTTGCTCCCTCTGCTGTCCAATCACCTGTCTCCCCTGGGGCGTCACCCTACAAATGGCTACTTTTGAACTAACATAAACATCCCCTCTGGTTCCATTAAGAAAGTCATAATCTTAATACACTACACTTGTGATATGGATTGATGATTCATTTAACACAGCAAATTTCCTAAATTCTCTCTCTCTCTCTCTCTCGCTCTTTCTCTCTCTCTCTCTCTCTCTCTCTCTCCTCTCGCTCTCTCTCGCTCTCTCTCTCAATTCAATTCAATTTAAGGGCTTTATTGGGATGGGAAACATATGTTAACATTGCCAAAGCAAGTGAAATATATAATAAACAAAAGTGAAATAAACAATATCAATTTAATCAATTTAAAATTCAGGCTGTAACACAACAAAATGTGGAAAAAGTCAAGGGGTGTGAATACTTTCCGAAGTAAATTAAACCAAAGTTTTGGAGATACATAACACCATCTAACCAGTTATCAAATAATGTTAGCTATATGCAGTTATCCTAGCCAGCAAGCTAGCCAGCCAGCTAATGTTAGCTATTTAGCCAACTAGTTATTAGCCTAGCCAGCCTAACCAACCACCATGGTTACGGTCGGCATGCTAGAGCCCAACTACTGGAGACCTGCTAGAACACAACTAACACAACACAACTAAAACAAAACCACAGATCAAAAGAGCAGAGACTTACAGATTGATGGCTGCGGCCCATCAGATGGTCAGGGAAAATCCAACAGCTATAGTGAGAAAAATCCTAAATAGATAGATTCCAGATGGCACCAAGCCTAGGTGGAAAAAGTTACAAAACTCCCTTAGCTTACTTCACAGAGAACGTGCCGAAAAGTTGACAAAACAAAAAGGAGAACAGACGAGGTTCTACAGAATTAGAGCGAGCAGGTAGGATTTTCTCTTTCATTTTGAGCCCACGGGAAGAAGGCACCAGAGCCTGCTGTGCTAATGGGTTCCCACTAGATAACACAGCCACAGAGTCTGTGAAGTTTAGGCATTCATTCCAAATGGTTATGGTAAGGGTTAAGGTTTGGGACAGGGTTAAAATAAAAAATACAAAACCAGTGTCCACCACTGGGATCAAACACGCAACCTTCTGATGCAGAGTCATGGGAATATGTTGATCCACCATCCCCGTCCACAATGCCCTAATAAAACCCTAGCCTACTTGATGGTAATTGGGGTCACTGTTGCCCCTAGTGGCCGGTTTTGAAGGCATTTCCTGACGTCCTCAGGACATGGATAGACGTCCAATTTCGACATCAATCTTGAACGACCTGCCTGGTCATATGCTACAATAAGGGTCCGGAGTTGGTTAGGTTAGCCTACTACCAGATCAAGAAAAACTCTGGGCCCCAGGAAAACAATCCCCCCCCCCCCCCACACACACACACTCTGGGACCTGTGGTGCCACCTCTGAAATCACCACACAATGTTACAAATGAAAGTACATATCCTATTTGTATGATCTAAATTGTACATGTTTTTGGTGGTGGGAATGAGCTTCCTTAGTTTCGCGTGGCTCAGTGCAGCCGGCAGCTACTAACGACAATTTCAGAATGTAACAGGCTGTGACTGCAATTTCAGGTAAAAACGCAATAAAACAAGTCTCAAATATTAGCAAAATCTTCTATACATTTCCATTTATACTGTAGGAGTGTTGGCTCAATGAGACAATTATGTTTATGGTGCCCTGCTTCAAGGGGGGCAACTATCGAGATGTAGTAAGTACGTCAGTTTACATTTCAGTAACATGTGTAGCCTAGTGGTGGGAAGTAACACGGCTCTTAGTTTCCAAGACAACTAATAACTTAGATGACAACACTGGCCGGAATTCAATCCGATCGCACTTTATCAACAATGTGCCATTTAAAGGTAATTTCCGGTTGAGCCGACGTACCGCAGCGTTTACCGTGACTGCGGTGTCGTGAATGCAGGAACGTTGCCTTTAAAACATTGTCAACAAAGCGCGATCAGATTGAATCCCGGCCTTAGAGGATAGCGTAGGTCATTACTGGGAGGTGTAAGCATTCTGGTTCAGATAAATAGTCACAGAAATGGCACAAGAAAAATGTAACTAATTAGATGCAAATAGTCCAAAGTGTCTGACTGTAAACTGATTGTTGTTGATTGAGAACTAGTGAGAACAGACAGGTATACTACAGCACAGGATCAGTGAGTTAGCCAGCTAACTTTGATAAGCAACCAGAAATAACTATAGATGTTCTGGTTCATTAAGACATCTAAACTTAGATATGTGTTTTTGGTTGTTGAGTCAATTAGACCGTGCCCATTTCAAGTTGATCTTTCCCCAAAATAAAAAGTTATTTCAGAATATTAGAATATTTAGGCAAGTTAGCTGGCTAACTAATCTATCCTGCTTTGTGGTCTACGCCTTTGCTTATCTCAAAACTAAAATTAATCGCTGTTGAAGCTTATCTGTGGTTCCGTTCTAAATGTGTATCATTTTCCACTTTGAGAAAATAAAATTATTGCTTAAGATATGGATTGATGATTCATTTAACACAGCACATTTCCAAACTTCTCTCTCATCCTCTCCTGCTCTTTTCTTCTCGACTATTTCATATTATTGCTCAACAATTAAATTTCAATTAAGGGGCTGTATATAAATTGAGGAAAAAGTAAAAATGGTTTAAAAAAAAAGCCCATTTAATGTTTAAAACAAATTTTTTTTTCATGGGGAAAAAAAAAAAAGGTTTTTTTAAAAAGGGGGGAAATAAAAAAAATAAAGGGAAAAAAACCCCTTTTTTTTTTTTTCCCCCCTTTTCCTCCCCCCCCCCCCCCCCCCCCCCGCCCCCCCCCCTTTTTTTTTCCCCCCCCCCCCCCCCTTTTTTTTCCCCCCCCAAAAAAAAAAAAAGGGGGGGGTTTTCCCCCCCCCCCCCCCCCCCCCCCCCCCCCCCCCCCCCCCCCGGGGGGGCCCCCCCCCCCCCCCCCCCCGTTTTTTTTTTTTCTAAAAAACCCCCCAAAAAGGGGGGGGAAAGGGGGGGGAAAAAAAAAGGGGGGGGGGGGAAAAAAAAAAAAAAAAAATTTTTTTGGGGGGGTTGGGAAAAAAAAATTTTAAAAAAGGGGGAAAAAAAAAAAAAAATAAAAAACCCCCCCCCCCCCCCCCCCCAAAAAAAAAAAAAAAACCCCCCCCCCAAAAAAAAAAAAAACCCCAAAAAAGGAAACCCCAAAAAAGAAAAAAAAAAAAACCCCGAATTAAAAAAAAAAAACCCAAAAAAAAAAAAAAACCCCCCCCGAAAAAAAAAAAAAACAAAAAGGGGGGAAAAAAAACCCCCCCCCCCCCCCCCCAAAAAACCACAACCAAGGAATCCCCCCCCCCCCCCCCCCCCTCTCTCTCTTATCTCTCTCTCTCCTTCTCTCAAAACACACTCGGTGCAATTTTTCCCATTAAGTGGACAGCTCCGGAGGCTATCAACTTTGGGACGTTCAGTATAAAGTCAGACTTTGTCTTTGGGCACCTGGGGAGGATAGCCCCCCCCCTTGGGAAGAATTCCTATCCAGGTAAAAAAAAATTGCTTAAAGAAATTTTTTTTTTTTTTAAAGGGGAAATTTGGAACCAATGAAAAGAATTGAGAAAAGTAGGGGGAGAGAGAAGAAGAGGGAGGAATAAAAAGGGGGGAGACAGGGCTCAAACCACAGACAGGAATGCCAGAGACAGGGCTCAAACCACAGACAGGAATGGCAGAGACAGGGCTCAAACCACAGACAGGAATGGCAGAGACAGGGCTCAAACCACAGACAGGAATGGCAGAGACAGGGCTCAAACCACAGACAGGAATGCCAGAGACAGGGTTTCAAACCACGGGACAAAAAGGGCAGGACGGGGCCCCAAAACAACGGGGAAATGGCAAAACAGGGCTCAAACCACAGACAGGAATGCCAGAGACAGAGGGCTCAAACCACAGACAGGAATGCCAGAGACAGGGCTAAAAAACGACAGGAATGCCAGACAGGGCTAAAAACCAAACAGGAAGGCCAGAGACGGGGCTAAAACCACGACGGGAATGCCAAGACAGGGCTCAAACCACAAGGGGAATGCCAAGACAGGGTAAAACCCACAGACAGGGGAAGGGCCCAAGAAAAAACAGGGCCAAACCCACAGACAGGAATCCCGGGAGACCGGGCTAAAACCACAACAGAAGGAACAGGGCTCAAACCACAGACAGGAATGGCGAGACGGGGCTAAAAACACGACGGGAAAGGCAGAGGAAGGGCTCAAACCCAGACAGGAATGCCAGAGAGGGGGTTTAAAAACCCCAGACGGGGAATGCCAGGGGACGGGGCCCCAACCACAGACAAAAAATGCAGAGACGGGCCAAACCACAAACAGAAGGGAAGACAGGGGCTCAAACCCAGACAAAATGCCAAAAACGGGCTCAAACCACAACAGGAATGCCAAGACGGGCCCAAACCACAGACGGAATGCAGAGACAGGGCTAAACCACAAAGGAATGGCAGAACGGGCCCAAACCACAGAAGGAAATGCCAAAGGACGGGGGTCAAACCCCGGGCGGGAAGCCCCAGAAGAAGGGCCCAAACCAAGCAGGAATGCAGGGGGGACAGGCAAAAACCACAGACAGGAATGCAGAGACGGGGTCAAACCACGACAGGAATGGCAGGAAGGGCTCAAACCAAGACGGGAAAATGGCAGAGAAGGGCTCAAACACAGACGGGAAGGAAGACAGGGTCAAAACCACAGACAGGAACCCAGAGACGGGCTCAAACCCAGACAGAAACAGAGACAGGGCTCAAACCACAGACAGGAATGCCAGAGACAGGGCTCAAACCACAGACAGGAATGCCAGAGACAGGGTCAAACCACAACAGGAAGGGAGAGACAGGCTAAAACCACAGACGGGGAATGCCAGAGACGGGCCAAACCAATACAAAAAGCCAAAAACGGGGCCAAAACCACAGAAAGAAGCCAGAACGGGGGCTCAAACCACGGGGAAGGAATCCCAGAACAGGGCTCAACCACAAAAAGAATGCCAAAGGGGACGGGCTAAACCCCGTCGCCAGCGGTGGTTGGAGTCATCAGAAAACATCACAGACCAAAAAGGGCAGGAGGAATACCTCCCTCTAACTCCCCCCCCCCTTCCCCCCCCCCCTTTTCCCCGGGAACCCCGCCAAAACCCCCCCCCCCCCCCCCCCCTCCCTCCCTCCCCCCCTCCCTCCCCCTCCCTCCCCCCTCCACCAGGTTGACAAACCCTGATGGACCCGAAACCCCGGGGGGGACGGGTGTGCGGGGGTTGCCCCTGTTCCCAGCAGGGGGGGGGGTTCCCCTGGGGCCTTTTTAATGGGGACCTATTGAAAATACTTTTGCGGAAAAAAAAAGGGGACAAAAATTCAACATTTTAAATTTTTGTTTAATCGAGGAATACATGGCTTATCTCTAATCCCTTTAGCCCCACGTATAGTTTGGGACCAAATGTTTTTAACGGGTTTTGGTTTTAAAACTAAACAAATTGACTTCTCCTAACCATACTAAAACAAGGACCCTGTGAAAAGATAAGAAACATCTCCAAGCCAGGGAAAAGGACCCTGTGATGAAAAGTAAGAACATCTCCAAGCCAAGGAAAAGGACCCTGTGAAAAGATAAGAACATCTCCAAGCCAGGACAGTTTGGTTCTGGTCGGCACAGTAGTGTGAAAAGAGTACAATGACTTCTTCACACCACAGAACGAGATTCAGCCCTGAGACTGGTTCATTAATAAAAAAGAGGACGGCAATGGAAACCTCACGGAGTTGGAAGTGGAAACAGACTTCTGCATCTGACTGCACTGATTTACGTCGGCCCTTGTATTTTAAGGACTTGTGTCAAGCCATATAAAGATAAATGGACAAGGAGACAAAATGAGAAGCCAATGGATTGACCAAGATGAGGACATGGGACTGATAGACACAAACTGATCCTGAGACGAGTGGGTGGGTGGGTGGGTGTGTGGGTAGGTGGGTGGGTGGGTGGGTGGGTGTGTGGGTCTGTGGGTGGGTGGGTGGGTCGGTGGGTGGGTGGGTGTGTGGGTCTGTAGGTGGGTGGGTGTGTGGGTGGGGTGCGACAGTGTTTTGGCATGGTGATGGTTATGGTATGGACACGGTCGGGACAGGACCTCGCGGACCTTCCTACGTCCTACTCTTCCTCTTGGTTCCTCATGGAAAAAAAGGCTTCTATAAGAGAGAAGAACCCCACTGTGAGAGAACCCCACAGAGCATATCTCTATTTTTGGCCTCCTCTGCTCCTTTATACAGTCATTTTAATACAACGCTATAGGGCCCCTGAATTATGACATTTGACCAATAAAGATGTATATTATTGCTCATTTAATTTAAGCTTGCTTCAAGTGAATTTTGAGAACCATATGACATGAGCTTACAAGAAGCCTCACATGGTAAAATGACTCTCAGTGCTACTGTAGCAATATTTACTAGCTGATTTCATAGCAGTGTGTCGGGGCGGCAGGTGGCTCAGTGATTAAGAGCGTTGTGCCAGTAACCGAAAGGTCGCTGGTTCTAATCCCCGAGCCGACTAGGTGAAAAATCTGTTGATGTGCCCTTGAGCAAGGCACTTAACCCTAATTGCTCCTGTAAGTCGCTCTGGATAAGAGCGTCTGCTAAATGATGTAAATGACAGATGGGTAGCATCTTACTGGCTACATTGTTACAATGGGGATGGTTGTCATATTGTGACAAGCAACCCTAACAACAATGTGACCCCCCCCCCATGCTAATTATGGATACTCCCATCATACAACTATTTATTATCTATAAATATAAGCAGTAACTAGAAACTGACAAGCAGGAAACCACATAATGAGTCACCACGCAGAACTCACAGATTATTTTATTTACACACTTCAAACACAGTTTGACAACTAAAATAACAATGAAGACTATCGAGTTCTCAATCAAGCAAAAAATGTAGTGGTGGTATATTTAATGTAACTGACCAGCCCTATTTACTGAGTGCACTCTGCTTTGTCAGTTGGGTCAACCTTTGCTCTCTATTTAAAATGAAGACCATTCTGTTTCATATGGTTCGAATCTAAAGCAACCTACACATGTAGTAGGCAACATGTTGTTTAAAATACAGTAAACCAACATAGCCACTGTAGTAGGTCAAAGCTGTCAGCTGTAAAACCTTGGTAGTGCATGGGTAAAGTTAGGCCTTGGTGCTCCTGTAAATGTCCCTTCTTTTTGCGTCTTCAGACCTGTTGAACTTCTCATGTTTGACTGTGGTCTCCAAATGCCCCTTGTCAAACTTCTTCTAAGCACTCCAGAGTCCAGTCCAGGTAGAGGTTCTGATGCTCTAATAGTCCAGTCCAGGTAGAGGTTCTGATGCTATAATAGTCCAGTCCAGTTAGAGGTTCTGATGCTCTAATAGTCCAGTCCAGTTAGAGGTTCTGATGCTCTAATAGTCCAGATAGAGGTTCTGATGCTCTAATAGTCCAGTCCAGTTAGAGGTTCTGATGCTCTAATAGTCCAGTCCAGTTAGAGGTTCTGATGCTCTAATAGTCCAGTCCAGTTAGAGGTTCTGATGCTCTAATAGTCCAGTCCAGTTAGAGGTTCTGATGCTCTAATAGTCCAGTCCAGTTAGAGGTTCTGATGCTCTAATAGTCCAGTCCAGTTAGAGGTTCTGATGCTCTAATAGTCCAGTCCAGTTAGAGGTTCTGATGCTCTAATAGTCCAGTCCAGTTAGAGGTTCTGATGCTCTAATAGTCCAGTCCAGTTAGAGGTTCTGATGCTCTAATAGTCCAGTCCAGATAGAGGTTCTGATGCTCTAATAGGTTGTGGACATGGAGGGTTGTGGATCAGAGATAAGACAGGTGACTGACTCCACCACCCAGAGAGCAGGTCCTACCGCTGAGCTGCATTCCTCTACCGCGGTGGGAGCGAATGTAGCGTTAGCTATCCCTCAATAAGAGGCAGTACTCCAGACAGGCTGGAGTGGAGCAGAATGTAGCGTTAGCTATCCCTCAATAAGAGGCAGTACTCCAGACAGGCACCAGCGGAGCAGAATGTAGCGTTAGCTATCCCTCAATAAGAGGCAGTACTCCAGACAGGCACCAGCGGAGCAGAATGTAGCGTTAGCTATCCCTCAATAAAAGGCAGTACTCCAGACAGGCTGGAGCGGAGCGAATGTAGTGTTAGCTATCCCTCAATAAGAGGCAGTACTCCAGACAGGCTGGAGCGGAGCGAATGTAGCGTTAGCTATCCCTCAATAAGAGGCAGTACTCCAGACAGGCACCAGTGGAGCAGAATGTAGCGTTAGCTATCCCTCAATAAGAGGCATTACTCCAGACAGGCACCAGCGGAGCAGCACCCCCTGAAAAATCAGAAGAAAAAATAAATAATATATATTTTTTAATGAACTAAATATTTTTTCACAAAAGTTGTGCACTGGGCCTTTACTAGTCCTGTATTAGTGGACCGATATAGAGGTCTGTAGCGCAGGCCAAAACAAAAATTCAGCATCTCAGCTTTGGCAAAAGAAAGTAGTTGTATA